AACAACCGCATTGAGCAACGCGAGAGTACATTTTTCGCTATGTAAAATTTGCAAGCAACTAATGAACTGATATTGATAACTTATAACAGTTTATTTTAGAATTACGACAAAATTTAGCATCTCAAGTGAGGTAGTAAACATAATTTAAGCCGTTTCTGAACCGGAAAAGATTCTGATCTTTCATTTAGTGTCGCTGTGGTGCGTTAACCCGCTTCGTGGACTGCATTGATGAGTCATTTTCCCTGCACCGCCTTCATGTTTAAGCTGTGTTGAATATTGCATTTACCACGATAAATTTTCCAATTTAAATATTTGCTTTTATCGCCGTAAGTTTTGATTGCATTTATTACTTCTATACCGCCTTATTCTCTTCTTCTTCTTATTTCTTATTATAACCGCCATCAAAACCTCGCAGCTTGAATGAATTCTCTCGAAGTATTTCCTAGCGATCTTATGCTTGTGTCGTATCTGCTTCTTTAGTTCATTAATTGTATTTTTAATTATGCAATATTTATCACTGCTGCAAATAGCTGGTAATTCATCAAATCATGAGCTGTTGCTGATAAATGTTCTCGTTTAAATCTTACAGCCTTGAAATGTATTCCCATTTGTCTACTGTATGCAAATTCTGTGTTGTAGGATGTTATGTTTCAATACCATTTCTGTCGATATCATTTAACAATGATTTTACGTAATAATATTTGTGAATATTGCTTTATCTTAAGAGGCTCACTGCGTCGGTGTTGCACAGAGACTAGAATAATTCTGATTGTTTTGGATTACCCGGAACAACGGTCAGTAATGCTGGAATACAACCACTTGGTAACGTTACCGCTAGGAAAGAACCACCTGATAACGTTACCACTGGAATGTTACCACTGGCTTGTTACACTGGGCAGCGTTACCACCGGATTGTTACCACTGTAACGTTACCGCTGGAACGTTACCATTGTAACGTTATCACTGGAACGTTTCCATTGTAACGTTACCACTGGATTGTTACCACACTGGGACAACGTTATCACTGGAACGTTACCACTAGAACGTTACCACTGGGCAGCGTTACCACCGGAATGTTACCACTTAGCAGCGTTACCACTATAGGACGTTACACCTGTAGCGTTTTCAAATGGTTAACCTCCTGTCTATCCGGATATATTACCAGCCGTATATTCTTAACATAACGACACTGAGTTAATTAAATGCGCTTTTGTCTCGCAAGCACAATTGCATTGAAATATTTTGACGTGCTTCTTTAGAAAGCCTATAAAACAATAAGCTTTCGTCTAAGAAAATTGTCTCTCGGTTCAATAATGGTTGTTTTCGATATGCCCTTCGTAATTCTACTTCTGTGTAATTTTTATTAATATGTGTTTTTGTTTCTGTTATGATCTTTATCATCTTATTAAAACTGGCTGGTTTTATATGATTATTTCAATAGATAAATTGCGATAAGAATGAAACACATAGGAGCAAATCCGTTCAATGAATAACAAGAGTAATGTGCATAATGACATGCATATAAATATGCATATCTGAATACTGCACTAATATCCATATATTACTTGATATAATAAGTCTGAACATTTACCTTAACTTTCGTATTCAATATGATATCTGTTAGTGGGATTCATATTTTTCATTTATTCAATGTGTAAATTCAGGATATATTCATTGGATATATTCCAAATACCAGCTCCATCGTCAGTTCAAAAACCCGAAAAAAAATTCTTTTAGGGTAATTGATATAGGAACTGCTCTCCAAAATTTTTTCAATAAATATTTGGTGGACTTTCAAATTGCGCCCAAAAAGAATTCATTTCCATTCAAACTTTTGGGTTAAAATGCAATCTTAAACATACTTATGATAAAAGTACTTAATTTAAAGTTATTCAACTTCTATGTTTATCGATCTAAGGTCACTGTAATGGCCTGTGAACCTTAGTTAATTAATTAATTTGTTCAAAAGATCATATTGCGCACCATCATCTATACCATCTAACGCATTGCACTTGTGTACAAACGCTATTTTTTATCGTACATTGTTATTATTTTCATTTAATGTTCGGTTCATGGATGTGAACAAGATTCGTGCTTCTAGAATAATCGAAAACTTCAGAAAAACTCTACGAGAAAATATATTTTTCAGTGCTGCTGAGTATTTAAAAATAAGTAGCACTTCATTGCTTTTATTGTCTATGATAAAATAATATATTTGTGGCGTAAGTTTTTGTAAGGCTATGTTGGCTGGTCGCCGATTGCAAACAGAATTTTCACAGCTATTTGCGGGATTCAAACTCCCCACTCGTTGCTCCAATCAATAATAATAATTAGCATATAATATACTGATATCAGCTTTGATTAGGCATAGTTCACCTCTGGCACATCCCTAATCAACCGGCCACTTTGCAGACTTCGATCAGAAATTTCACAGCTGGTTCCGAGTTTCGAACCCCAACTCGCTACTCCAATAATGACAGACACCTCGAGCTCCAAGCTCGAGTACAGTGCTTGCTCAAGGAAATAAATAAGCTCAAGTTGGAAGCGTAATCCAAAGTAAATAAGCTTATTTTGGAAGCTTAATCCAAAAAAATAAGCTTATTTTGGAAGCTTAAACCAAAAAATAAGCTTATTTTGGAAGCTTAATCCAAAATAAATGAGCTTATTTTGGAAGCTCGAGGCAGACACCTCGGGTCTCCAAAATATTTCATAGCTTCGGTAGCATATTAATTTGAATTAATTATTAATTCTCACAATGGCTTTGCATGATAATCATCTGCATGATAATCATCCAAGTAATACTAGCACATAACTCGCATTTGCATATCACCTTCAGGTGCTAATGAATCCCCCGTAATCGCGTTGTTTGTGCTGTTAATTTCAGTGTTGGCTCGCTGGTGCATTTTTTTCAGACAAGACAACTTTACCGCAAGTTTCATACCTAGAATTTTCATAGTAACCTTGAATTTTTATCAATTTATGTGATATTCATGGCTTGTCCAGACTTCCTATTCGTGCTCTTCTGTTTTTTTTAGGAATTCGGATTGAGCCACCCTCCTTTGTATGATTTTTATTCTAACTTCGTTGAAATTGTGTTCTTCGCATAATTTCATTTATTATACAGAAACGTTTACTATATGCGCTTCACAGATTCATCGAAAATATTCGTATATGTTTAGAATAAATGTCGACTTTGTATTTCCTTTTCATTAATTTAATATATATACCGTGCTAGTCTTTACCATGCTAGTCTCATTTGTATATTAATATCGGCTTGATATATTCTGATGATATAGAATGATATTCCTCGCAGAAGTGAACGTGCTCTAGAAGTGTCAGAAGTGACAACAATTTTTTATCTACAATTTCGAAAAATAAATATTTTTAACACTGTGCTGGAATCTTTATAAGGCTATGCTCTTCCATCACGAAACAGAGAAAAATTCGGTAAAATTTTATATGTCGCATTGAACCTATAACTTTGTAAGGCCTTTATGTTTTTGTGTGGAACTTTGGAAAATTATTGTCCTTATTATCATGTTAACACACACGTGATTTTTTTCCATCTTTCATAACCTGGAAACTCGTCCGAAAATTTACAATAGATTTCCTTAGCCATTTTTTCGAGAAGTTTTCGGGTACTTGACATCTTGGAACCCTAGACAGGTTGCGGTTGCCAGTTCAAGTTGGTTTAGTAAATATTTCATTATTTGTTAAGTTTTACGCACCTGCTTTTCTTTGATATCTTCAATATTACCCAACCATGTACTAATTGTATTTATATGTGCACTACGCGCTGATGTACATCAAATGTAACACTAATGAAGTAAAGTTTGTGTTCGTTCACCTGTCATTGTTTGTTTCTAAATTCCCAACTTATATCGAAATGCCGTACCGGCAACTGCTTCAAATTAATTATTTTGGTAACATTATAATTATACTAACATTAACATTATAATTTTTACTATACTATTACTATAATTATTTTGGTAAATTTTGGTACCATTATAAAAATGAAAGAAATTTAGCGCGATTACCTACATGTCTAGAACATTCAAGTAGTTTCAAGAGAACCTTGGAACCGTTCGGCGCTCTCTAGAAGGTTCTAGAACATTCTAGAAACTTCAAGTAGATTACCGATTTTTCCGAAATTTCTAGAACATTCTAGAAGTTTATGGAACAAACAACCCAAAAATTATTTATGCCCTTCCATGAACGTTCTAGCAACTCCAGATGCGAGCGAGCCCCTTAAAATAATTTGGCTTTTCTCAGGTTCTAGAACATTCTAGAACCTTCTGCAACAGGCATCGTAAATTATTCATGTTTCTCAGAAAGTTCTAGAAGCTTGTGTTCAAGTGCACCAGGAAATATTTCGGCGCTTTTGAAAAAGTTCTGGAATAGGTATTCTAGAAACTTCCGGAAGGTTTGGAATGAACTGATCTGCCCCAAAACCTCACAAAATTAAGAAAAATATGATTTTCCAATATTATGATCCCAGAACCCGACAGAAAACTTTGGTAGGGAAAAACAATGAAATTGTGTCATTATATTCTAGAAACTTTTCTTTTCCCAAACCAACAAAGGCAGTGCAAAATCTTCTGCAACACACATCAATATTTATGGAACGAAATGTCATTTTTTTTGCGGTTTTTCGATCCGGCCTAGCGGATGCCGTTTGTAAAAATTCAAAATAACATACGACAATTTAACAAATTTTATTTATCTCTTTAGGCGTATCAAAAACAACAATGTCGGGCAATCAGGATGCACCAAAATTTCAGGTATAAAATTCTATATAAGCGATAACAAAGATAACATACAATTGATTAAATTAGCCAATATACCAAACACGCACTCGACGACTCGTGCAGAATCATTTAAAGTTAACCATGCAATGCATCTTAATTAAGATTAGGAGTTGTGTGATGCGCAATTTTGTGTTCAATTTATATTAATATAAAACAATATATAAACTAGTTCGTATATATATGAACATGAACATGAACGTTATATTACTACGAGCTCATTGTCGTAATTTCGATAGTTGAACTTGAGAAATATTTTGATGGCGTTTAAATGAGCGAAAATCAAAGCTCTGCTCTTGAGAGCCCATTTAGAGAGTCAGCGCCTCCTGTTGAGAGCCCGTTTAGAGAGTCAGCACCTCCTGTTGAGAGCCCGTTTAGAGAGTCAGCGCCTCCTGTTGAGAGCCCATTTAGAGAGTCAGCGCCTCCTGTTGAGAGCCCGTTTAGAGTCAGCGCCTCCTCTTGAGAGCCCGTTTAGAGAGTCAGTGCCTCCTGTTGAGAGCCCGTTTAGAGAGTCAGCGCCTCCTCTTGAGAGCCTGTTTAGAGAGTCAGCGCCTCCTGTTGAGAGCCCGTTTAGAGAGTCAGTGCCTCCTGTTGAGAGCCCGTTTAGAGAGTCAGCGAGTCTCCTGTTGAGAGCCCGTTTAGAGAGTCAGTGCCTTCTCTTGAGAGCCCGTTTAGAGAACACCTTCTTCTCGAGGCGCCGGTGAGGCGTGTCCTCAGCCTTCTTCAGGTCCGTGAGACCACCTTCCTCTCCACGTCGCCTATGAAAACAATGTTTAATATAATAACATTCAAATAGTTTATAGAAAACTTTTCATGAAATATTATGTATTGTGAAATGTATAGAAATAATTTTGCGAAAATAATTTGAAAAACTCAAGGTAAAAACACGTTAAAATCCTCAAAAATGAACGTCGCGGCAAAAACGAAAATGGAATCGCGAGATCAAGTTAAAACGGCTTTTACTTCAGAGACGAAAAAGTTGTTATACAGGTACGAATGATTTGTCCATATAGACATTCGTTCGTAAAGGCATTCGTTTGTAAGTAAGTGCTGCTGTACCTATACGAAAAGCAATACGGTACCCTTTCAATGCCCTGCCATCAACTTTTACCTGTATTTTATCAACCTCGTGTCAGTAACACAGTCTAAATGCCTTCTAAAAATAACCTTACATATGTTTTAGTAGCCTTCAATCAGCAGTCGTTTTCATGCCTATTACAAAATAACCCTACACAAAGAAGGCAAGTGGGCGGGCCACATAGTACAAATAGCGACACTATCTTGTCCTCAGTACTAGCAGAGAGCATAGGTAGCATTGATACGTCCTTCGCCGGGACAAAATGGGTTGTGGTGACCCACACAGGAACCAAAAGTGCATCGATTTTTGGACAGAATCAATCATTTCTCTGAATTTACCTGTTTTAGAAGCCTCATTCCGGCAATACGATTCCATGTATTGGTTTCCTTTAACAAGGTGCCACTGGCAGCCATGATATTTTTTATAATCGAGTCTATCATGAGAAATAATGTTAACATTTAGAAATTTAAATAAAGCTATTCAGTTGGCAAGCTTCGCAAAATATTCTAGTTTCTTGATAGCCATTTTCTGATACCAAGATCTACGCCGGTGACAAATTAGTATAAGAATTTCATAGCATCAGCGATATATTTAATTGAGAGATTAAGTAGCAACTATTAAAGAAGAACAAAGTCTACCTGCCCCATTAACTAAAATTCCCACCTATACTTCAGTTACACGCGTCTGATCGCCCCAGGTAGCTGCCACTATGTTTTTTATTGAATCTCCAATAGATATATATATATAATCTTAATTATGAAAAAATATAACTCAGTACTCACTGCAGTGAGTGACAGAGAGCGCATTTTCTCGTCGACGAAAACGTGGAGTCACGGACGTACGAACGGACAGACAGACGGACGGATGGACGGACGGACGGACATGGCGAGCACAGCAGCGCCTTTTTTCCATAAATGAGAAAATGCGCTAAAAACCGAAAAAAACAATTTTGAAAAAATTGAAATAAACATAATCTTAAGTCAGAAAATTCCGCACCTCTTCTTGAGTGTCCTCATGTCGAGGTCGACGCCGGTGGCCGCCCTGATCTCGGCCAGCAGGAGGGGGTCCTGCCAGTCCTGGTCCAGGTTCATCCGCCGTCGCCGGTCCTTCAGCAGAGCGGCCTCAACCGCCCGCACCAACTCCTCGGCCGCACACACCGATTGAACTTCGTCTGATGATATGTCTTTGTATTTGTCCGCAGGGATATCATCTGTATCCACAGGAATATTATTGTCTTTGTCCGCAGAAATATAATCATCTCGGTCCGCAGAAATCATCATATAATCATCTCTGTCCGCATCGCCTTTGTCCGTAGAAATATCTTCATCTGTGTTTTTACAAGCTCGGCTGTCACCAGTATTTGCACTTGCTTCAATACGATCTCCAGCAAGAATATTATTGCTATCAACCTTATTATTGGAAGAAAGACTTCCATCTCGAACATTTGTGTTGTTATCTCTTCTTGTATGTGCAGAATAATCGCTTTGTGCCAACATCAATCCAGGATTGCCTCTTAATGATTGCCTAGAATGCGACATAGATTTCAATATGCTGGTTGATTGAAATGCCGTGTGGTTTTTGACAATTTTTTCACCGCACTTAGTGGAGTGAAGAGAATCGGCACTCATTTGGTTGAGTTTGCTTACTAGGCTCTTTTTATCTTTGGAAGTTTTATGTTCGCCTGGTACACCACATTTTTTACTATCAACCTCAGAAAAACTGGACATATTACCAGTATATGAATTTATACAAGACATCCGAGTTTCAGTGGTTACAGCAGCAGAAGAATTTGGAGACTGTGCACTAGTTGTTGCAGCGGAAGAGCTCAGAGACTGTGCACTAGTTGTTACAGCGGAGGAGTTCTTTGACTGCGCACTAGTTGTTGCAGCGGAAGAGCTCAGTGACTGCGCACTAGTTGTTGCAGGGGAAGAGTTCGCAGACTGTGCATTAGTTGTTGCAGCGGAAGAGTTCGGCGACTGTGAACTAGTTGTTGGAACGGAGGAGCTCTTTGACTGCAAGCTAGTTGTAGCAGCGAACGAGTTCGTTAACTCGGCACTAGTTCCAGCAGCGGACGAGTTCGTTAACTGTGCATTAGCTGCAGCAGCGGCAGAGTTCGTTAACTCGGCACTAGTTTCAGCAGCTGAAGAGTTTGGAGACTGCAAACTAGTTGCAGCAGCGGAAGAATTCGTTAACTCGGAACTAGTTTCAGCAGCGTTTGCATCAAAGCGGCGCCGGGCGGCGGCTAGTAAGGCCTTGGCGTAGGCGAGGTCTGGCTCCCCTGACGCGCTAGTGCGCGGGATGACGCGGCCGTGCAGCGGACACGTCACGCGGTCACGCCGGGGACACAGGCGACCTGGTGACACAAAACTTAAGTTAGGTCGTGGAATGAGCGTCCAAATGATGCAGGAATACACATAACACATCTGAAATACTTTACACGCAAAATTATAACATCAATAACATCAAACATTAAAATTTACACATTTACTATTACTATATTACTTTTTACTTTTCACATCATTATCCCAGGGCATCAGCGTCCAAATGATGCAGGAATACACATAACACATCTGAAATACTTTACACGCAAAATTATAACATCAATAACATCAAACATTAAAATTTACACATTTACTATTACTATATTACTTTTTACTTTTCACATCATTATCCCAGGGCATCAGCGTCCAAATGATGCAGGAATAGACATTACACATCTAAAACAGTTTACACACAAAATTATAACATTAAACATTGAAATTTAAACACTTACTATTACTATTTACTCGGCACACTAAAATTGTAAGGGCAGAAGCCCAACTATTATGGGGCTAAGGCACGAGAAATATGGATAATTCCAACCTCTGCCTGTGAATCACTATTAATCTATATTGAATTAGTAGTTATTGATCCTTCAATTACAATTTTAAATTTGATGATAAGCGAGATCTAAGCAAAATACTAATCCTAATGCGAAGGTATGTCAGATCTAAACCGATTATTTATCGAAAATGAATCGAATCCAAGATGACGATAATCAACGATCTGATGAGTGTAAAAGTCATGTATCGAGTGATATGAACAATGATGCCAAGGAATGATATCCTAGTAGCATCAATAGTCAGTTATTACCTACTGCAACATTCTGCATGGGGGCAAGTCGAGAAATAAAATAATGCTACAATATAGTTACAACAAAAACATAACGCCATAATATGGTTAAAAGATAATGCTACATTAGTATAGTCAAAAGATAATGCAACAATATAGCTAACTTCCAGCAATACCTGGTTAAGGTGATGTTATTATCAGCAATTACATCAATGTTCAGGTAGAATAATAGAGAAAATGACATAACATGTTCAACTAGACAAGAATTGTGCAGGCCTACACATGGAAGGAATGGTGCCAGTGAAAAACTTGAATTGAGTCGGTCGGTCAAAAATGCTGTACACTCACCAGACAGCTGTACACTCACCAGACAGCTGTACACTTGTCTCTTATACACATCTAGATGTGTATAAGAGACAGTCATAGATACGTGCAATTAATATCTAAAATTAATCTCTTATTCATAGATAAAACCAGAATTTACTTCGGTTAGAACAGCACATCAATTCATCCCTCAACTGATGTATTCTTAGTCATAAAAAGTTGAATTTTTGTCGCACTAATCGGTAGCAATTTGGTTATTTACTTTGTTGAAATTAAATGTATATTTCACCACTATAGCAGCAACTGCCTGACGCACCGGTTGCACACTAATTTTCTGCGAAGTGAAGCACGTTGCGTTTTTTTTATTTACTTCTGCCACCTTTACGTTATATCGTTGATATCAACATCAGTAAACAATTTATATATTTAGACTGGCGGGTTGCAACGGCAGAACTGTAGATATTGTTGAGCTGTAGAGAAAAAAATACCATCATATCATTATTTTATTACCGTAGGACGTTTCTGCGTGAAAAATTGTAAGATTTAAGACCCCGTAGCATGTAAACCTTTGTACATTAACCACTGAATTGAAAACTGTTGGTAAATNCTGTCTCTTATACACATCTAGATGTGTATAAGAGACAGGCTATAACGAATTTCTGCATGTTTCATGGCAAACTGATTAAAAAGAAACTCATACAACTTTTCTACATAAAAATCAGATAATTTACATATGCTTTTTAATTTCTTGAACAGTGATTCATTTAATTCCTCTTTGCCAGAAGTTGTGAGTTTCTTCACCAAGTATTTTATGTTATTTATCATCTCTTTATTGCTTTCCATAATGAATCCTATTTTGAAGTTGAAGATCTGTGTTAGAAGGGGAAAAAAGTTAAGCACACAAGTGACAATGACATGAACAAATTTTATGATGTGATGATCCAAATATCAGTGTCAATTTTGAGACATTTTTATTCTATCACATTGGGAAACCTGCAGAGCAGCCCTTCATCACTCAAGTCATGAATGTGATAGCAAAAAAATTTTTGACAAAATACTTTGATTTCAGCCATTGTAGAATTATACATAGAATTAATAATAAGAAAGCAGGCTTGAGTTGATACAGAACACACTTAGAAAGTAATGTTGTATTTTGCAATGGATAGAGATATGAAGAAATGGCTCTTCATGGCCAAACTCCAAAGAAGGCCAAGATATGGAACACATGGCTTAGAGAAATGGAATCAGGGCTTGCAAATCCATAAAACCACAGCTCATAAATCCAGTTGCAATCAAAATAAATATTTGCAAGCAATGATTCCAGTTCTTTGAGCCATGAATTCCATATCCTGGCCATGACAACCGGTGAGGTAGCTACAGCGCATTAACTGCTGATAAAGCTCCCGAACTTTGAGACGATAATTGAGTGAAAACTTTACATAACATATTGTGAGCCTTCTAAACTCTAAAGTTTTATTAATGAAGAAATCACAAGGTTCACAGAATCTAAAGGTTTAAATGCTAAATTGTCAAGTATAGTGCCATAGTGACAAACCAGAGATTCTTTGGAATCAGTTCATTTTTAATTTCCTCATTTACTCAAGATTTAAACCAATTTCTTATGTATGAATATGATAATGCTGGTATCCATGGTACTTTGCTTGTCTACGTTATAGGATTCAAAAATGAACTTGGAGGATGAGTCGAATTGTCTAAAAAAACTCTCTGCTTTGCCACTAGGCTATGTTGAGTACAGTACTCCATTCTAATCAGTCAACTGAGTGAAGTGTCATGTTGTGGCAGTTGTGCATTGCATTCTCTTCAAGAAATTTCTCTGATTGCAATGAGTTTATCCTCAATTTGAAAGCTGATGTGAAGAATAGGTGCAATAAATGTTTTTTATATTTAATTTGAAGCCATAATGTTAAACTTAAACCTAACCTGCAGCTGCGAGCCTGCGAGGACTCTTGATGTCTCTCCTGCTATGGTGACTTTGGTGAGCAACTGAGTGCATTTACAGAGCCTAACGGAGGCATCCTGGTAGCCGGGATGTTAGGCAGATGCACACAGCACACCAAGAACCTGGTACCTAGCTGGTACTAGCCAGCCACTAGGCTACTAGCCTGGATGTTAGGCTTAGGCAATACAGCCACAGCAAAGGTACAGTAAAATTGGATGTACTTTGAATGGCAAGAGCAAATGGTATTTCCTTCTGTAGATCCCTCTTGCTTATCAGTGAGTGACATCACTGACATGCAAAAAATAATTTTAACAATCTTGGGACCTTCACTGTGTTGCTTGAGTAGCCTTCATGCTGATTTCTGAGGCTGAGTGATTTCTGACAGCCTACATTCAAACCTGTTTTTAGTTGTCTGGAACACTTTTTTTAAAGCGGGATGCTTTTTTTCATGTGAGTGAACCACTAATTCTAGAATTACACCCTGCTTAGAGCCACAAGATTGGTATTATTGCAGATTAACTACATCCAAAAAAAAAGGGTGTTTTTTCTTTTTGAATTATATGTTTTTTGGGGTGTAGATTACGAATCTGAAATCCATTTTTGGCGGTCGGCATCGGAAAACCGATTTTTT